CTTTGGATTTTTACTGGGCTATATTTGTAAATGTTCAAAGTCAAATGAAGGAGCTTGAAGAGTAAAAATATACATCAGTTCAATCCAACCAATGAAAACAACGACGCGAGTAACTCAAAAGAACGCCGCAGCAGAACATGAAACTCGGCAGACGGATGCGTGAGCTTCATTTAAAATGGGAACTGAGGATTTTGTGTCTCACTGTTCACATGTCAAAAAGTATCAACAGTGCTGAAAAAAAGATGACCTACAAACCCGTTAATCAGCTTACAGACCCACCTGTCTCTGACCAGCTGTGAGTGATGATAGACTGACCTGTAAAGCTTTTCTCCAGCAGCTGACCTACCTGCACACACAACTCATAGACCAAACCCTTACAAGGATTAAGCAACTGGGGGTGGCGTGGTGGCGAGCACTGTTGCCTCAAAGCAAGAAGGTCCGGGTTTTGAATTTGCATGTTCTCCTCGTTACTGCATGGATTGTCTCCAGGTACTCTGGGTTCCTCCCACTGTCCAAAGACATGCAAGAAGGTAGACACCTTTTCCTATCTTGAGTCTTGCCTCATGACAGCAGGGATACGCTCGATCCAAACTTGGATTAGATAAGAGAAAGAAAAGAGATGGATTACAATATACTGGCTATCAGCTTCTGGCTGAGTCTGTCAATGCTTGTTTTTATTGATTGGGTGGCTGGGAGGGAGGGAGGGAAGGCATGTTTACTAATTTGGAGGTTCAACTCTTTGAGAATTTAACTCTGTGATTACCAAATGTAGTGCAGTCTGAGGATGTTCACGGGTAGCGACCCATAGCCAAAAGGTTCACAAATAATTTCAGTAATAAAATCAATTATATTTGTATCTGCATGAGCTCTGCACTGTGACTATGCCAAGGCTGCGCTGGTCCATTGTGGTGAAGAGGGGCTTGTGTAAGGATGAAGGCGAGCTACGCTCACCGATGGCCTTGAAAGAAAAATATCTGTGATAAAAGCAGCAGAAACGAGCCTGAAGAAACCCGGGAAGACTGAGGGTGTTGGCAGGTCTGAGTGAGGAGCAAAATCAAGGCGTGAACGTCGGTGGGCAGCAGAATGTTACCAATCGGTTAGTCAGGACCTTTTCATGAAGCCTCGAGCTGACGTCTTCTCTGTCTTCTTATTGTTTTAAACCTTGATGTGATGAGCAAGGGGCGGAGCTAACTGAGAGAGAGAGGGTACTAGGTGACTGAAAGTCATTACCCAATCAGTCATTAGCACATCCTGGATAATGTTTTAACTCTTAGAATGACCATAATTTATAAAATAGGCTGAATGTTTTGTTGAGTGTGACCTGAAACCCACGACTGGGCCCAATCAAAGTTTGATTTCTGTGGTGAAATCGTGGATTCATGAGGTCAGAGAGTGACTTCCAAGGTGTCATCCAAACATGGTGGCCACGCCTAAGGTGCTGCCCCACTACCTAGACGACCGGAGACTGAAACCCGGACAGAAACACCTACAGACCAAATTGTGCCAAATAGTTCAGCTTTTAAAAAAATCCCCAAAACTAGAACCTTCTTAGTCAAAGAAATTCACTGCAGCAGAGGCATCGTTAGACGGAGCGCTCCAAGAGTTTTGAAGGAACTTCAAAAGGAGAAGAAAATCTTATGAACTTCTTTGGCTGGTCGTGGAGTTTGTATGTGCAGGTGAGCGCTGAAGTTTAACTTAACTGAGCTAACGCTTCAACATATTTGCCCAGATTGGTGCCCTGAGGTGTTCAAAATGGCAGCCAAGTGGCGAGGCTTGCTTCTAGAAGGACTTTGACTGTAGGTCAAAATCGCATAAAAGGTTTGTTGAACTCCCTCAACGATGAGCGGAACATCGGGATCGTTTCGAACAGGAAGTTGTTGCAGATGTTGGAGGGAATTGTGGGAAATGGTGTGTGTGGTCAGTTTAGCCTGAAGTAAATCTTTTCCAGTCTGTTGATTTAATGACTGCTGCTCTTAACGGTGCTTTCTAAACAACTGAGACGCCATCTGCTCCACATCAGCATGCTGATGTTTTCCCATGACCTCCCATCACGTTCACATCTGCACACACACTCCCTGCCGTATATAACTTAATTACTGTGTGTACTGCACACACACTCACAGCTCCTGCAACTCATAATTTTGCTGCTCTGCTTTCAGAGATTTCATCTGAGAAACGTAACGTCATCTTAAAAGTCCGCAGGCCGGGTGTAGATCTCCATCACAGGCCACTCTGTTCACTCAAACGGCTAATTTTGTATGCTAACTCTAATTTCGTGCTCCACTGAAATATTAAACAATTTATTCATTGGGTAAATATTCAGCTTTAGAGACTTTAGAGATCTTAGAGACCTTTTTTTTTAAATCCGGGAGGAAACAAAAATGTGGAATTGCTCAACAAACCCACGTGCTCTGCAGGAACGCATCAGTCATACCACATACAAATCTCTAAGTCTAGACTTTGGGCTGTATAAAAAAACGGATGTTTACTCTAGGGAGGGGGGATTTCAATCATAAATACTGTTCAATATTTGCTGGAAACTATTGGACTTTCCTTTAGTCGCCCTGTTGTAGCAGACTTATGTTAGATGTACCCATCAGTGTTTGGACTCGACCACGTTTTTGCTTATTTTTGAGGCTTTTTAGATGTAGAAGTCTTTGATTGGTTCTCTTGTTTCTACTGTAGCATCTCTGTGCACCACACTGGTCTGGTGATTGGCAGCTGTATAGACAGTGTAAAAGATGGATGTAGCCGTTGTGACCCAACGGTTTCTGAAGCCTTGAGCTGAGTGTTTTCACCATCGCCTTCTTGGTGTTTTGAAACGGGATGTAACAACCTATGAAACGGCTTCTCATTCAGAGGTTGTTAGCCAATGAGGATCCTCCTTTCTGACTCTTTACGTTATGAAAATGTACAACATAGACTTAATATAAATAGACTTTGTGACTGAGGTCAGAGCAAAGAGCTGTTTAACAGCAGACTTTTATAGGACCGGAAATCTTCTGCCATCCACAGCTATCGCCCCCTGCTGGCTGTTTAATAGACTGCAGGTTTAAGGCGCTTCACCACTGGCTTCACTTTTAAGTGACGGCAGCTGTCCATCTTTATGCTTTCTTTGAGTTGTTAACATGTTTTTATTTCAGCTGTTTAATAGTAATGTAGAGGTTTACACAGTGACCTAAACGGTAAAAGATCTCAGAGCTCCGATCCTGGTGGGAAACATGAAACTTTTCAGATCGCATCATGAAGGACATCTGGCATAAAAATCTGCAAAATCAAACATGCTGAGCTACCCACCATGGCGACTCTTTGTTAATCAGGCAGCAGCTGAAAGTTCTTTTTGTTATACTACATCCTGCCAAACCCTACCAGACAAGTTTTTTAAAATGATGAATAATTTAAAGACTGTTTGTAATTATGAAATTCATGACCAGCTGTGCTGTCAGCCACTGGTCACTGAGGTTTTACCATTTCACCATCATGACATTTTAAAACTAGAAGGGACAAGCAAGGGGTGGATGTGACTGAGAAATTAAGCGACACTGCAATCAATCACTATTGCAAGTTAGCACCACCCTAAAGCAAAACTTGTTGACCTTCTATTTCAGTCTCAACTGGTCCATAACTTACAAAACGAGCATTGTGTTCTGTTTAATAAGACTTTAAACTCACGATTGAGGCTGTAAAGTCACCCGGAGAGTGTTTAGTGAGCTCGTAAATCAAAAGAGCAGAAGGGTCGTTTTCTCATAGAGGCAACACAACTGGGTTTGTTTTTGCAGACAGAGAATACGCCTCCCTATAGACACATCCACACTGGCTTCACTATTCAGACCTGGAAGTAAGGATAACTGGACCAATTTATATAAAGCATGAGGTAATTAGTTCAATATCCCAAATATTACTTTACAACATAAAGTAAGTATTTAGAAAAGACTTAACCCTTGGGTAGACCTGGTTTCTACTAAGGACTCATTATTTAACATCAAATAGATTTCTGTGGATATCCTTTTTTACACACTTTTCCTTTTTCTTCTGGTCGTTTATTATGCACAGCCGGGTGACACTGCATCACTTCCCTGAGAAAGCTGCACGGACACACCATGGCGACACGGAGAGAGTCAAGCCTGAACAGCCCATCGGTTTCCTCTGTTATCGCCAATCAAGTTCACTGTTGACCATCAGGAAATGTGTCTGTTGCTAAAGGGCAGCAGTCACTATTGGCTCTGACACAGAAACATTAAGATGATTTGCATGAAATAAGCAAACAGAAACAAGAACAAACAAACAGAATAAATCTGTTTGTGCACAAATCTAAAAATGAAATAAATTAACTGCAGGACAAAGAAACATGAGGTCAAGTCATCGTCAAAGGCTGGAGAAGAGAAGTCATAAATACACTTTGATAAAACAGCAATAAAACCATCAAGGCACCAGCAGGGCCACCAAGGCCAGTGCCCTATTTCACAAATTATAAAGAGTGCGGTCCAGTATTTATGACTTCTTTTCTTTATGGAATAATTAATGGAATACAAAAACAATATAAAAAGTCAATAAAAACACCCCGTCTGAGGAATGTGGATCTATAAAACAAGAGCCAACAATACTATGAAAAATATAAACCACATTTAAAATACTGAAAATCAAAGGTTCAAAGACACAGTGGTGGAAAATAAAAGCCAGAAAAAGGAAGTGAAAAGCAAAATAAGTGAAACGCACAAACACATTCGGCTGAGTCAGTCCCGTCTCCTCGCTTCTTTGGAAGTTAACAAATCTAATAAAGAAAGTTTTTTGGCTTTGATTGAATACGAAGGCTGTTAGTGTGTGAAGGACAGCTGAAGTAAAAGCTCCTGAAAACAAAGAGCAGCAGAGAAAATGTCTCCTGGATTTAGAGGAAACCTGCCGAGAGTTTGATGAAGCTTCAGGATCTGCAGACAGAAAGCCTAACCAAAAACAACCTAACACAAACCCTTGTATATTTTTACCTGTCCCCTCCTCCTCAGGTCCCTCCTCCTCCTCCAGTCCCAGCTTGCTGACTAAGAGCCTCTCTCTGGAGCCGTCCTGCTCACCGTGCGGCCACCTGGGGGCGCTGGATGCCGACTCTTCGCAGCAGCCGAGCTCTGACCCGGGGCCGAGCTCTGACCCGGGGCCAAGCTCTTCCACATCAGGTCCCGCCTCCTTGGAGGGAGGGGCAGAGCTAGCAGAACGCCGTGGCTCTGCGAATGGGCTCCTGCTGGTGAATGACACGGGGCCGCCGGAGCTGCCAGCTACCACAATTACACCACCGAGCAAGAGCAGGCCGCCGCTGCCGGGACCTAAACCTCAGGGTAAGAATTTGATTCACTTTTTTTTTTTAACACATCCATGAGGTCATCGCTCACCTGTAACTCCGCCTTCCACAGTGCCACCGAAACCCCCCCACCTCCAGCAGCAGACAGGGGTTTCCAGGCCGCGCCCCCGAGCACCAGAAAAGCCCCTCCCACCTACACCCCCCTGCAAACCCCTCCCAGCGGACCCTCGGGCAGGCCGACCTCCACCTATTCGTGCAGACGGCACCGCCTCCCCCACCTGTGTCTTGTCACTCATCGAGAAGTTTGAGCGGTGAGTTCTGATTGGTTAAGGAGGAGTGATGTCATTATATGAGTCTTTTCTGTTTGTTTATTGTTTGTTTGTTTACAGGGAACAGATCATTGTGGTTCCTGACATCACTGGTGGGGCGCTGTGTCCCCGCCTCTCCGACCCCCCCTCCTCCCTGTCATCCTCCCGACCTTCATCACCAGCATCATCACTGGCCCCGCCCCTCCCTGAAGAGGAGCCGTCCTGTGAGCTCACGAGCCACGACGACATCACACAGGGGGATGAGGGTGGGCCTGAGGGTGAGGATGAGGGGGGAGTGGGTGATCTACCTGATGAGGAAGATGACAATAATGGCGATGACGTTGATGACGATGAAGACGATGATGATGAAGAGCTGGCGGCTGCTTGCCGGGACGATCACCATCACAAGCGTCTGTCCATGGAGTCGGGTTACAGCCCCTCAGAGAAACATGTAGAGGATGATGTGGTTGCCGTGGAAATGAGGGAGCAGCAGCTGCAGCCGGCACTGCTTGACCAATCAGAGTTGCCCTCCGAGCGTCTGTCCCTCCCCTCCTCGCAGACGGACGGCAAGCTGGCCAATCGAGACAGCGGCATCGACAGCATCAGCTCTCCCTCGCACAGCGAGGAGCTCTGCTTCGCGGGTGTGGATGATGGGGGCGTGGCCTATCAGTGCAGCCCCGCCCTTTTGCCCAGACTCTCCAGCTCATCCTCGTATGCTGGGGAGGGAGGTGAGGGGGAGGGGGAAGAGGGGGACCCGAGGGCAGGTGCGAGGCGGAGGAGGGAGTTTTCAGAGGAGGGAGACAGCGACCTGGAGGAGGAGGAGGCGGAGCTAACTCTGGTGCTGGCCCCTCCCAAGACAGACCGACAGGACTCTGCTGAGGTGAGGATTCAGGTGGTCTAACCAGGTGGTCTACATCCTCAGGCTGATGTTCGTGAGCCGTTACACATCTGTAATTTCGTTTTGGATGAAACTGAAAATGGTTACAAGAAGATGGGTTTTAGAACAGACGCTTTCACTTTTCATGGAAATAACTGTTCCACCAATAGGAATCTTGGACAACATGTGGGAGTTTAAAAAGGTCGACAGGGGTCAATAAATACACAGAGGAGATTGATCTGGAAAACACGGGGCTATGTTCCAGGTTCATGTGCAGGCCCGCGTCCTCATACAGATGTTTTACATGACCAACGCAGCTGCAGGCTTCAAACACTGGTTTGTGTTGAATATCTGCATTTAGACTCTTTATTAAAGTAATAGTACAGGATCAAAATATAAATATAATATAAGTATTAATATAATGCATATAAAAACACGGGAAAATATAACATAATAAATTATATTATTATAATAAGTATTTCTAATGCATTCAATTCTGGTTATGATCTCACTTACTTACGCTACTAAAAACCCACCAATGGGCGGTTTTTTCCACACCTGCTTTAGTTTAGTTACAGTTGAGAATATATTTAAATATGAGAACAAATTTAATTACTAACGGTGTGAACCATTAGAAGCGCAATAGGAAGAACAGACGTAATGACAACAATGTCCTGTATGTGGTTCGGCTCATATCATCACCAAATATTTATGGTAACTATTATTATATCTGTGTTTTCTGTTACCACAACAACCCCCAGCCGGTCGCGGCAGATAGCCGCCCCTCCCTGAGCCTGGTTCTGCCTGAGGTTTCTTCCTGTTAAAAGGGAGTTTTTCCTTCCCACTGTCGCCAAAGTGGTTGCTGATTGGGGGTCGTCTGATTGTTGAGTTTCTCTGTAATACTGTAGGTTCCCTTACATTACACTATTAAGCGCCTTGAGGTGACTGTTGTTGTGATTTAAAACTGAATTGAATTGTTATTGGTAAGCAGGGATCTATAAATCATAAGCCTAAGTGACTGAATTAGTGCTAAATATGTTAAAAATGATTTGGGGTGTTTACAACTGAATGGAAATCAAAGGCAGTCACACTGTTTGCAAATACACAGAAAAAGAAACTACTTTTATTTGAAGTAAATATTTGAATGTATGAATCTTGGTACCCTAAGTAGTTTATAGGTTTCAAGGTCGTTGAGTAGTATTTAGAGCATTACAGTCATAGTAATGCTACCGTCTTTATTGTATGATGCCATCCATAATAATTCAACATCGTTATTATATCTATGTCCTAAACCTAGCTATATCGTTTAATGTTATAATAATGATAATAACAATGCGAATGAATGAAAACTCTCTCTGACTTGAACTTGGGTCTCTGTCCAGCCTCCAGGTTTGGCCGTTTTTGCCTTTAAAAGAGGAAAATATTTACTGTGCACTCACTCGTTTAACTGTCTCTGTGTCCAGATGTCTGTCCAGCAGAGGGTCTTCAACATCGCCAATGAGCTGCTGCACACAGAGATTGCCTACGTCTCAAAGCTCCACCTGCTGGACCAGGTGAGTCGAGAGTGAGTCTCCTCAGCCTGTGAGCCAATAGGAAGAGGAGCTGCCCGCCACACTAGGCTTAGCTTACCTAGCTGTCAGTCGCTCGCAGGTCGTCTCCTCCTGGTAGAATCAGTTTGTCTGTTAGCCGACTTTCACGTCACTGAGCTGTCACTGTTGCCATGGAAACCCCACAGTATTCCCACTGCAGGCTTGGCGGGTGTGAACTTTTTCCTGTTGTGAGAAATATCAGCCCGACTGAAGCCATCTCCTCCCACAGGTTTTCTGTGCCAGACTCCTGGAGGAGGCTCGGTCTCGCTCCTCCTTCCCCTGTGATGTCGTTCTGGGGATCTTCTCCAACATCTGCTCAATCTACTGTTTCCACCAGCAGTTCCTGCTGCCGGCGCTGCAGAAACGCATGGAGGAGTGGTGAGCCTCCATCTCCTCTTCCTCTTCTCCTGCTCCTCCTCAGGAGCTCCTCTCACTCCCTTCCTCTTTGTTCCCACAGGGACTTAAACCCGCGGATCGGTGACATCTTACAGAAGCTGGCCCCCTTCCTGAAGATGTACGGCGAGTACGTGAAGAACTTTGACCGAGCCATGGAGCTGGTGAACATCTGGATGGAGAGATCGACTCAGTTCAAGACCATCGTTCAGGAGATACAGGTACATAATCCAAATCTTTACAGGACATAAATGATCTGCTGCTGACGGCTCTGCACCAGATCCCACAGGGACCTTCAGAGGTCTGCAGCCTCCAGGCTGCTCAGGGCGTCCTGTTTTGGCTCATTAGTTTAAGATCATCACACGTTGTTGTGTACAAACGTGTGCTTGATGTTTCTGTGCAGAGGGAGGAGCGCTGTGGGAACCTGACTCTGCAGCACCACATGTTGGAGCCGGTTCAGAGGATTCCTCGCTATGAGCTGCTGCTCAAAGATTACCTCCACAGGCTGCCAGAGGACGCCCCGGACTACAGGGACGCCCAGAGTATGAAAACAAACGCACAAAAACACGACTGCCTTGAGTTCTCTAGGCCACCAAATAGTGTCAACCGTGCATTATTAATAGAATCTAGACAAAAATATATTGTATTTTCTTTAGTTTACTATTATCATTGCCTGTTATTCTGTTATATATTAAAGTCCTTAACCTGTAGAAACAGAAATTCTCTGCTAGAAACGAGATGAAAAGTATAACTGAATTTATGAGTAGGAAAAATGAACCACTTTAATATGTGGAGGAAATCACAGCTACCCACGAGCAGGATGCAGCACCTCAACAAAAGTGTTAAAAAAAAGAAAAGCAATTGTCAGCAGCTCTCTGACTGAGTGCATCATCTGCTGGGGAATTTGGTTAATGTGGTGCAAAACAAGCTAAACAGACACTTCAGGAAGCCTGATATAACTGATGTGATGGAGCTTCCTGCAAAGCCCAAACCCACAAGACGATACAATCAAAAGAACTCACAACATGCCAGACGGCGTATCTGATTACAGGTGTGTCTTTAAACGTCAGCTTTGTTTTTGAGCACAAAATATTTTAAAAACACTGGTTTAGGCTAAAAATGAGAGCTCGGACATGTTCCAGGCTCTAGTCTTGAAATGTTCTTCGATTATAAAACAGAGACACTTGTGTGCGATCAAGTGTGTTTAAAAACCTTAAAGAACAGGCCAGTGAAAACCAAAAGGCCCAGTTAGATTAGATTTGGCTGTTTGCACATGCAGCGTCGTCCTCTCGGACATTATTAGATCCCTAGAGGAAGTCCCATTCTGAGCGCTTGCACTGCGATTTCACCGTGAATCTCAGACATGTTCAGAGGCTTCTGTTTCAAACTGAGAGCGAAGGATCGCCGGTACTGATAAGAGCTGCATGTTTGGCTGTGACCGATCAGTTTTCAGTTGAAATTTCCAGTTTAAGAGCTGCAACGTCCTGAGGTGCCCGAGGATCTGAACCGTGGTGCTGTCATGCCGATTCAGAGCAGAACGAAAACACAAGAACTTTTTGGCTATAAAATAAAACCTTCAGGTAGAAGGATCGCTGTTTCACACACTGTAGGACTTCAAATGAAAGATCTGAAAGATCTAAAAGAGCTGCTGTGCTGAAAACAGGCCAGAGTTGTACCAGAGCGTGAACCTGAATATGAGATCAGGCAAATATGAATCGAGTAAAGCTTTTGAATGTTTTTGATCACACTTCAAACAGTTTATGTAATAATTCTGATACACTATCTTGCCAAAAGTATTCACTCATCCATCCAAATCATTGAATCCAGGTGTTCCAATCACTTCCAGGACCACAGGTGTATAAAATCAAGCACCCAGACATGCAGACTGCTTCTGCAAGCATTTGTGAAATAACAACTCGCTCTGAGCTCACTGAACTCCAGCGTGGTACCTTGATAGGATGCTACCTGTGCAACAAGTCCAGTCGTGGAATTTCCTCAAATTAAATTACATCAGCTGATAGTGGTATTATAACAAAGTGGCAGTGATTGGGAACGATAGCAACTCAGCATTGAAGTTGTAGGCCAGGTGAAATCACAGAAAGGTCACAGAGATCATCAACTTTCTGCAGAGTCAGTCGCTACAGTTCTCCAAACTCTGTGTGCCCTTCAGATTAGCTCAAGATCAGTGCGTGGAGAGCTTCATGGAATGAGCTTCTACAGCCGAGCAGCTGCAGCTGAGCCTTACATCAGCAGGTGCGATGCAAAGCAGCAGATGCAGCGCCACCACTGGACTGTAGAGCATGGAGAAATGGTCTCTGGAGTGATGGCCCCTTCCTGTTCCAACATGACTGCGCACCAGTGCACAAAGCAAGGTGCATAAAGACATGGGCGAGAGAGCCTGCACAGCGTCCTGACCTCAACCCAACAAGACACCTCTGGGAGGAATTGGAGCAGAGACTGAACCAGGTCTTCTTGTCCAGCATCAGTGTCTGATGTCACAAATGCTCGTCTAGAAGAACAATTAAAAATTCAGATAAGCACCCCTTAACCTTCATAAAGCATTCCCAGAAGACTTGAAGCTCTGGGTGGGACAACATTATATTAAACTCTATGGAATAATAATGGGACACTACTCGACTTCGTGTGTGTGAAAGCAGACAAGCAAGTACTTTTGGCAATATAGTGTAACTGCAGACTTTAGTTTGGGTTCATCAGCTCTTCTTCTACGGAGCAAACTTTGGGCTTCGGGGAGCGCTGCTGCACAGAGAAGCTAGAAGCCAGAGTATTTGGTAGCCTCGCCCTCATTGGTTCCTGGGTCTTTGTGTGTCTGAGCTACTGGCTCACGTAACTGTCCTCTCTCTCCTGCAGAGTCTCTGGAGCTGATCGCCACAGCAGCCGAACACTCCAACGCTGCCATCAGGAAGATGGTAAGATACTCTCACACATTCGACACCCGGAGCTGTGAGCCATAATCACCCCCGTCTGCCGCTGTTCACACCACATCACTCAGATAAATGTGGCCCGGGATAGATTAAAGCTCAACTTTTACTTCATCTTTATTTAAACTCTCCTGATTACGCTCATTAACTGCCCGAAGCTCCTGGTAAACACGACTGCTGCTTCAAAGGTTGGTTTATACTTCAGGTTCGAGTCTGCCTGAAGAACGTCGGGTACCCAGGTGGGTTTGCAGAGGTCTCTCAGCGATGGCGTGATTAGCATGGTTAATGTAAACAAGAGCACGAGAAGCAGAAATGTGGATTCATGGAGTTCAGGCTGGTTTTTGCTGTAATGACTCAGAGGTCTGAGCCTCTCCACCTCCTCTCAGCGGGATGTTTGCCGCCGTCTCTAATCAGCTGTGACTGATTAAAGGAAAGCCGCTGCTGCTGATGTGAGGCGGTTTCACTCAGCTGACAGCTTTTTGGAGATTTGTGCAGGAGGCAGTGAGAAAACGCGACATAATCAGACGAGGACGTGTGAGTGGCATTAAACAAGCTTTAGAGGGAAGCTAATACTAAGAATACACTACAGCCGCTCATGGCGTTCAGTTAGACAGAGCTTAACTTCTGGACATTGGTCCAGACCCGATCACCGTTACCATGCTTACATTTTTCATATACTGCATTTCCTCCAACTTAGAAACGTGAGATGTACAGCTCAGATGGAGGGTTTGGACACAAAGTCAGAGGCAAAGCTCAGATGGTTTGGACATGTGCAGAGGAGGGAGGGTGGACGTGTTGCTGAAGATGGAGCTGCCAGGCAGGAGGAAATGAGGAAGACCACAGAGAAGATGGATAGAGTTGTGGTGACCCCTAAAGGGAGCAGCTGAAAGAAGAAGAAGAAGAGGGCAGTTCCTTCAACCATTTTGCTGTGATTTCCAGACTCCAGCTGTTTCCTTTCAGCCAAACATCAAATATTTTTACAGTGTTTCCATCAGGCAGTGATAGCAGATTACTCCAGACCAGTACATGTGTGTAGTATGTGCCCTCTCTGCGCTTTAACCCTGTAAAGCCTGAACCATGAAATAAGATGTAACATTTTTGCTACATCTGGCTCTTGTTTTGCAGTTTGGTGCTCACAGTTTGTTCAGTTTGAAACATAAAAGGAGTTTGGGTTTAAAGAAAATCACACCGATGATGTAGATGTCTCAAAGCTCATGTGTCACATGGTGTTTTAGGGTTAAAACCTAAACTGGAAGCGCTCCATTCGAACCCTGATCTGGAGAGTCACCTCAGAGGGGATCCAGACTTCCTGTAGAGAAACTCATTTCAGGATGTCAGGTCGTCTCCCCGCTGAAGACTCGCTGGAAACGCTAGAATGTAGATCGAAAACTTTGCCTTCAGGCTCCGCAGCTGTCCTAGTAATCTCACAGTTTGCCTTTTGTATCTTATATCTAAAATTTAGGTTTCCAGTGAACTTAAAATGCCCTAAAACCCTCATGTAGCATCGGCAGGAACATGAACCGCTAAGTGATTCTTTTATGTCTCTGCCAGGAGCGAATGAGGAAGCTGTTGAAGGTGTACGAGTTGTTGGGAGGAGAAGAAGACATTGTTAACCCAACTAACGAGCTCATTAAAGAGGGACACATCCTCAAGCTGTCCAATAAGAACGGGACCACGCAGGACAGATACCTGATACTGGTACTTCCCTGTCTGTGTCTCCTTCTCAGCGCTTTACAGAGTTCATAGGGTCATAGTAACAGTAATAAGCGACACCTGCCTCTCTCTGCAGTTCAATGACAGGTTACTGTATTGCGTCCCGAAGCTGCGTCTGATTGGTCAGAAGTACAGCGTCCGAGCCCGAATCGACGTGGACGGCATGGAGGTGAGCTCTCCGGCTTTTCTCACTGAAGACACTGTTAGACTCAGAGTGTTTTTGCATTCAGCCTTCAAACACCTTAAGCGCTCAGTAAAGTCAAGAATATTAATGTGATCTACAGACTAATAACAACTAGACGAGCACTCGTTCAGTGTCCGAGCTTCATAAAGTTGGCCTGGTGGGGTTTTGTGTTGTCTTCCAGAGACACAAACACGCGGTATTAAAACGTGCATCCACCTCAGCTTTAACCGTCGAATAGAACTAACAATGATAAAGCGAGATCAGAGAGGATGATGATGAGCGTGCTCAGATTTAGCCTGAATATTTTTAACAAGCCAACAGTGAATTTCCCGCCTGTGTCCTCAGCTGAAGGAGACGAGCAGCGTCGCTGTCGCCAGGACGTTCCTGGTGTCGGGGAAACAGAGATCCCTGGAGCTGCAGGCCAGGTACAAACACCTACAGAGACAGAAGCACACTCGGTCCTGCAGGAGGACTCACTGTAATCAGAATCTGTCTCCCAGGATAAAAACACACTGAAGTTTGTTTCTCAGGTCGAGTTTTGCTCCTCGAAGATTTGACTGATTTTCTGTTGGCTTTGCAGGACGGAGGAGGAGAAGAAAGACTGGATCCAGGTAAGTGGTGCTGATGCAGCGGGCGTAGATGATCCGATACTAGCACGTTAGAAACTGCGGAGGAACGTTCGGCTGCAGACCTGATGGGCTCGTGGTGTGCTTTCAGTCAGCAGTGGCAAGTACTGTGAAGCAGGCACAGGGTCAAACATAAGGTCTGGGGGCCAGAATCGGCCTGGCAAAAGACTCCAATCCGGCCCAACAGACATCTTTGGACAATACAAAAGAGGACTTAATTTTTTAATGGATTTTACAGCTTGTCCAACTCACAAAGATGTCTCCCACAGCTGCTCTTAATGCACCAAAGTACTAAAGTATCAGATAAATTGTATAATATATATGATATTATTACAGGATAGTCTCGGTAACAAACTGCCTGAACTTTTCTGTAGTTTTATACATTTATGTTTTTACAATTTAACCCCCAAAAGTTGTGCCTACAGATTTCTTTCATTATATATAATTACAGCAGCATTTATGTATTATGCAAAAATACTGAGACTGAGGCTGAAATCACACTTAAATTTGTTATATTGAGATATTACAGGGATTAAATGTGAAGATAAAGTGACAGGAAGAGGATTTTCACCATTCTGGCCCAACGCCAGCTGTATGTGGCCCGCTGCTTTAGGACAAATTTACAATTGACTGATAGTAATGAAGGATTTTCTTCTTCTTCTTCTTTTAATGAAATCCACCCTTTACTTTGTTTACATTCAGGCCATCCAGGCGACCATCCAGAGGCACGAGCAGACGATGGAGAGTTTCCGACACTTGAACTGTTCACTCCGAGATGATGACTCCACGCCGCCTCACTCTCCGGTAACACAAACACTCAGCGACAAAATTGACCCCCTGACATGAAGAGCGGAGTTCTTGAAATCCCAGAAATCATTCAGTTGTGACTCATATTCTCCCGTCTCTGCCTCTCAGAGCTGTGCTGAGCTGGGGAAAAGAGCTCCGACTCCCATCAGAGAGAAGGAAGTGACTCTGTGCATGAAGTGTCAGGAGCCATTCAACTCCATTACCAAGAGGCGCCACCACTGCAAAGCCTGTGGACACGTACGTTCTTCATCCATAACATCTGTCTGCAACACCTACAGACAATTTAAAATCCACAGCACTGGACGACACCAGCTGATGTTTGCAGCGTCTGCAACGCCAGTGTGATGTGTTACAAAGCTCTCCACATTCAGACTGTTCCCAACACCAGCCCACATCTGTAGTGTCTGTGACATGTGCAGCATCCACAACACCTCCACCTGCTGCTCACATTTATTGTACCCAGCATGTCAGTATATGTCATACATGAGCTGATATGAACATCTGTCGTAGCCCAACACCTGGATATTTGTAGTATCTGCAGCACGTGTCTGCCAGACGTTTGTGGCACAACAACATTTTCAGACTTTACACAGCGTTGTCATAGTTACCAATTGTGCGATGGTCTATGTCGACTCCAGGTGGTTTGTGGGAAATGCTCGGAGTTCCGCGCTCGCCTGTCGTACGACAACAACCGAGCCAACCGCGTTTGCATCGACTGCTACGCCACGCTCGTGGGCGTGTCGCCGTCTCCCGCCGGGCTGACCAGCAGCAGCCACAGAAGGCGCTCCATCCTGGAGGTGAGTGTGACCACGCTCTGACATCACCCGGCGTTTGCCTCTGTCAGATCTCCACGCATGGAGCCGCTTGCACATTTCAGGATTTCTCTTTTCAAAGATGCTCGACAGGTCGAGTGTCGCAGACAGCTGATTCTCTTCTCATCCATCTCTCGTTGCTATAGAAACAGGCCTCGTTGGCAGCAGAGAACAGTGTGATTTGTAGTTTTCTGCATCACATGGAGAAAGGAGGAGGGCGGGGCTGGCAGAAAGCCTGGTTCGTCATCCCCGAGAACGAGCCGCTGGTGCTCTACATCTATGGAGCTCCACAGGTACGCTATAAATTTACATTCATGTCAAATATATAAGAAGGCACTTTCCTGTTAATCCAATTGAACAGTAACCAGCTGCAGTTCATACAGGGATCCAGTAGAGGTCGCTGCATCCCTGGATGGGAATGGAGATACAGTTAAATTTTTTCCCTGCACCTCCTTTCACCTCTGTCCTTTTCTTGTGAGCGCTCTGTACAAAACAGGAAATGCTGGGAGTTCTGGATTGTATTAGAAGCTCTCTGGTGGTATTGACAATCTGCAACCTTGCTAGTGCCCCCTACAGGCTTCTTTATTGATTACAGCCACAATATTAGCAAACACTGTCCTGCTGGAACATCAGCACCTCGTCCTATGGTGCCTTCTGTATGGAAGCCTGTTCCTGCCACTGAGGAAAACCTTTTTTGCCATCTGTAAGTCAGAATTTCAAGTTATTTCTCAGAAGTCGGATTTACTAAGATGAAGTTTGGAGATAATATCCCATAATTTTGATTTATGGATGATTTATTTGCAGTGGCAAAAAAAGCTTCCATACTTCTGTGAGGTCACAGAGGAAGCTTTGAAAAGCAAAATCACACTAAAAGTTCCTCCACTTTGTGTGACTCTGGTCAGGGAATAACTCTTTGTTTACATTATCAACCAATCAGATCACGGCAGACAGAAAATTATGATGGTGATGGAGGCTTCCAGTTTCTGTTCTGACTGGTCTGGTCTTTGACGTTGGGATGAAATCGAATTACACCCTAAATGAACTCAATTTATTCTTTTTCCCACAGGATGTGAAGGCGCAGCGCAGCGTGCCTCTGATTGGTTTCGAGGTCTCTCTGCCCGAGTCGTGTGACCGCCTGGAGCGACGGCACGCCTTCAAGATCTCCCAGAGCCACCTGACCCTCTACTTCAGCGCCGACGGGGAAGAGCTGCAGCGGCGATGGATGGACATCCTGTCCAGGGCTGGGAGGGGGGAGGAGCTTCAGTTCCACCGACCAATTGTGGAGAGTCTTGAGGAGGAGGGGGAGGAGTTTGCAGCTGTGGCAGAGGAAGAAAACACGTGATTCTGTAGGACAAGGAATGATGGCGATGATGAAGATGGGGGCCTTTAAATGAGGATCAGTTGGAAACCAGAAAACAAAACAAACTGTTGTAGCTAAAATATCTC